ACGCAAATTCGTAGGGAACGCGTTCCGACTCACCGATCTGAAGACCCTTGACCGACTTCCCCGCGCGCACACACGCGCGTCCAAATAGTTGCGGCTGCTCAAGGGTCACTGGTACTTATTAGCTCTCAGTTGATGCAGCAGGGGACACTATACACGACTCCCTTCAGATAACGCAACGCACCAATTGGACACATGGACTTGCTCCACAATCACATAAAAGCAGTTGCCTGAGATAAAAATGCAGGGTTTTGTGCACAACAAAGCCCTCATTCTGGTGCCTTCTGCCTTTTTCCAATGACCCGGAATTCGATCTGATGATCGTAGTTCTTTAAACACAATCACTACTTAGCCACCACATGACTCACTCGTCCCGTCTTGTCTTCGGGTCCACTCTTGAGCCCTGCCAGCAGCCGGACAGTGGCTAATGATATAGGCAGAATGACATTACCGACAAAAACAAAGGGACTAGAATGGTCATTACCTGTTTACTTACCGTCTCAAACGGCCACACCTAACCCCAGGTGTTGAAACACTCAAGGCTCGAGAGTAATTCTGCTTATATCCTTAGCCGCCGCACGGCGTCGGCTATCGGAGCTCAAGAGTGAGCTCGAAGATGTTACCTCACGGGTAAGTTCCGTAAATGATCGATGAGAGCCTATTTACCATTCTAAATAATCCCGATAAAAACCGACAAGACAATGAGGGCGAGGCTCAATGGTTAAGGCGTTGTACTTCTGACCAACAAGCCACGACTTGGAGCTCCGGGTTTCGCAGCAACTGGGATTGGGTATGGCTGGTTGATGACAATTAATAAGCTACAGATGGACTTCCAGTCTCCCTCTAGCATCAAGCCACGCTCAAAGCCACTCAGTTGCCTTAGGCGGGGTGGGCGCAGTGGCCGGCAAACCCGTCTATGCGCACCACAACACGATATGCTCTCCTTGCCACACACAACAGAATAATCGAAAACCAGAGGGCAGGAAGGAGCCGTCACCGTCTAACTCCCAGACCAATGGTTACCTACTGAACATGTGCAGGGCTGAGGGCTTGGTCTGGTAAAAAGTGTCAGCCTTCCAAACCACGGTAAACCATGAAAGTCAGGTTCAGATCAGACATGTAGCAGAGGATCCACATGCGGAGAGTGAGAGGTGCCGGTTGAAAACACGTGGTATGTGATGTTGGGCGTGACCATACATGGCGTAGATGTTTGTCACGAAAGATGAGGAAACGATGCGGTATAGCCGACGGAGTTCTACCGCAGGTTCCCGTCGAGGCGTATATGGCCAAAGAGGCCTATGCAATGCGTGAATGTGCGTGGGCAGTGCGGACATTAACAAGGTTTCGGCGACTGTATTTGGGGGGGGAGGGCGGGACTGGTTCACCAAACTCTATGCGGTTGATTTGCAAGTGATCGATCACGCCTATACGTGAAGTGCACGTTAGGTGGTAGTGAAGACAGGATAAATCGGAAGGTATTAGGGTGAAAGTGTTGACACTGTTGCTGTTGGTGGAGATGATAACGCCAATTGCAGAGCTGGGACTAGAATTGTTGATTGGTGTGCAGGATGTGTTAGGGGTGTCGGTATCCCTGTGCATTCCGCTGTTATGGAGGCGCATGTGACCAAATAGGCTCATGTGATGAGTACATGCACGAGGGCACTGAGGA